GGTGTTCCAGGGTGTAGCACTAGTGTTAGGTGTAGTCAGGGGTAAGGTGAAGGTGTAGTCAGGGGTAAGGTGAAGGTGTTCCAGGGTGTAGCACTAGTGTTAGGTGTAGTCGGGGGTAAGGTGAAGGTGTTGCAGAGTGTAGCACTAGTGTTAGGTGTAGTCAGGGGTAAGGTGAAGGTGTTCCAGGATGTAGCACTAGTGTTAGGTGTAGTCAGGGGTAAGGTGAAGGTGTTGCAGAGTGTAGCACTAGTGTTAGGTGTAGTCAGAGGTAAGGTGAAGGTGTTCCAGGGTGTAGCACTAGTGTTAGGTGTGTAGTCAAGGAGGGTAAGTGAGTGTTCCAGGGTGTAGCACCTGTAAGGTGTTAGGTGTAGTCAGGGGTAAGGTGAAGGTGTTCAGGTGTAGCACTAAGTGTTAGGTGTAGTCGAGGTAAGGTGAGGTGTTCAGGGTGTTAGCACTAGTGTTGGGTGTAGTCAGGGGTAAGGTGAAGGTGTTCAGGGTGTGCTTACTAGTGTTGGAGGTGGCAATCAGAGGTAGGTGGAGGTGTTCAGGTGTAGCACTAGTGTTAGGTGTAGTCAGGGGTAAGGTGAAGGTGTTCCAGGGTGTAGCACTAGTGTTAGGTGTAGTCAGGGGTAAGGTGAAGGTGTTCCAGGGTGTAGCACTAGTGTTAGGTGTAGTCAGGGGTAAGGTGAAGGTGTTCCAGGGTGTAGCACTAGTGTTAGGTGTAGTCAGGGGTAAGGTGAAGGTGTTGCAGAGTGTAGCACTAGTGTTAGGTGTAGTCAGGGGTAAGGTGAAGGTGTTCCAGGGTGTAGCACTAGTGTTAGGTGTAGTCAGGGGTAAGGTGAAGGTGTTCCAGGGTGTAGTCCCCAGGGTGTAGCTAGGCAACATTGATCTTAACGTTACGTAACACTGCTAGCTTCTATTGCCAGTGTTGTGTGCATAATCCCTCCCTGCCGCCGTCTCCTCACCGCCCTTTTATGGCCACCACCCAGACGCTGCTGAGTGTGGCCACACCCTCGAGTCACTGGTGATAGGGAAAAGGGTGTGACCATCACCTAACACACCCTGATGAGTGTGGCCATCATCCACACCCTGGTGATCTGGTCATCATCTACACCCTGGTAGTGTGGCCATCATTGAGACCCTGGTAGTGTGGCCATCATCCACACCCTGGTGATCTGGTCATCATCTACACCCTGGTAGTGTGGCCATCATTGAGACCCTGGTAGTGTGGCCATCATCCACACCCTGGTAGTGTGGCCATCATCCACACCCTGGTAGTGTGGCCATCATTCACACCCTAGTAGTGTGGCCATCATTCACACCCTGGTAGTGTGGCCATCATCCACACCCTGGTAGTGTGGCCATCATCCACACCCTGGTAGTGTGGCCATCATCCACACCCTGGTAGTGTGGCCATCATCCACACCCTGGTAGTGTGGCCACCATCACACCCTGGTGTGTGCATCATTCACACCCTAGTAGTGTGGCCATCATTCACACCCTGGTAGTGGCCATCATCCACACCCTGGTGGTGTGGCCATCATCCACACACCCTGGTAGTGTGGCCATCATCCCACCCTGGTAGTGTGGCCATCATCCACACCCTGGTAGTGTGGCATCATCCACAGCCTGGTAGTGTGTCATCATCCACACCCATCATCCACCCTGGTAGTGTGGCCATCATCACACACCCTGGTAGTGTGGCCATCATCCACACCCTGGTAGTGTGGCCATCATCCACACCCTGGTAGTGTGGCCATCATCCACACCCTGGTAGTGTGGCCATCATCCACACCCTGGTAGTGTGGCCATCATCCACACCCTGGTAGTGTGGCCATCATCCACACCCTGGTAGTGTGGCCATCATCCACACCCTGGTAGTGTGCACAAGAAGCAGTGATGAGTGTTAACCACATCTTGAATAGTCGTGTAATTTTGTAAGGGCAGGACTCGGCCCCTGTGCGTATGTGTAAAGTTGCATCATAACATCATGTTGTTATGTGTGCTGAACCAAGCCTTCTGGTCTGTGTTCTCGTCACTAATTTGTGTGACAATAATAGTTCCTGAAATGGGTAGCCTCTGCATATATTCAGGATTTAGTACTCGGACGTACCTTGATCTACGTGATTATGTCTCCAGTTTTGTACAGTATATGCATGAATAGTATTCGAATCACCAGAAGATTACCCCCCCCTACCCATATAGCGTTAGGGTGGTTAATCTTCAAGTGATCTCATTTATCATCAACTTAAACGTACTGCGCCATTTGTCTTGAACAGGAAGAAAAGGAAGAGCAATTTAGGCCCATATAGGGTGGTGAGGTTGGACTGTACAGTAGGTGGACGTCTAGACACCCATAGTGTTGCCGTCCCTCGGGTAGGTTGCCGGAGGAGAGAACCTTCAACACTCTAGCTCACTTGTAACAGGCATGACAAAACATTAACACGATCGTGACTTTTATACAGTTTTTTTTTTTACATGTAAGGCTTGGGTTGTTCGTCTCTCTTAAATAAAAAAAATCTTTCACTTTCTGTTGTTGATCATATTACATTTCATTTCGTGCTTCTCTCCATGTAAACAGCCTTAACAACATCAACCCAGAGAAGTCGACTTGTGAAAGAGACTTAGGGGTACTTGTAAGCCCGGACCTACGGCCTAGAAAACAGAGCGTTAATGTTCGAAATAAGACAAACAGAGTATTAGGTTTATATCTAGAAATGTAAGTAATAAGAGTGCATAGGTCTTATTGCAACTATATCTTGTACTAGTCAAGCCGCACCTCGATTATGCGGTTCAGTTCTGGTGCCCTTATTATAGAATGGATATCAATTCACTGGAGTCAGTGCAGCGAAGAATGACGAAAATGATTCCGGGACTTAGAAACCTTCCATATCAGGATAGGTTAAAGAAACTAAACTTGCATTCTCTAGAAAGACGAAGAGTGCGGGGAGATATGATAGAAGTATTTAAGTGGGTGAAAGGAATCAATAAAGGGGATATAGATAAAGTTCTTATAATATCCGAGCAGGATAGGACTCGTAGCAATGGATTTAAGGTGGATAAGTTCAGGTTTAGGAGGGAGATAGGAAGGAACTGGTTCACAAATAGGGTGGTGGACGAGTGGAACAAGCTTAGCAACTTTGTAGTAAGTGCTGGAACGCTGGAAAGTTTTAAAGGGAGGCTAGATAGATTCATGGATGATAGAGAGTGGTTGTAACTCTCGACAGGAGCTGCCATGCACAGGCCAACCGGCCTATTGCAGACTCCTTATTTTCTTATGAATCACTTTCTGAGCTTGGTATTATAAACAATGGCATGACATCATTGGTATCTCGTGCTCCACGTGACAGGACCTTGTGGAGTTGTGTGAGGCTGGCAGATGCAGTGGTGAAGTAAGACCCATCAGCCAAGATTGCTCTAATGGCTGAGGTGTTGATACAGCAGTTGTGTGAGAGAGAGGGAGACACTTCCTCTATAGTTTTGTTTACGTGCACCGCTCCACTTTCCTCCATCGCGTCTCCAGGTGCAACGTAAAATGCGGGGCCGTTTTATTCTTAAGAGAAACGTCTTGATTCGACATGTTACAGAGTTCTATCTCTTTTTTCTTATTATTTGACTTTTGTTGTGCAAGTGTACAATATTACTACCGGGGAACTTGCTACGCGCTTATAGACCTTCGTTGTTGAAGCGCAGTCATACAATTTTACTGCAACAATGATGACATGTCATCATTTATTTGACTTGTCTTGATTATCTGATATCTTTATTTCTCGTTTTCCACTCATTAAAATTTTATTATTTCTGGAGTGATGCATTTTTCCTACACCATGTAGCCTGTGCTATAGATCATGGCATCTCGTTACCTCTCTTTACACACTATGCCGGTCAAGCTCACCAGCCAATAATTATTTGGGGAATAGCGGTCTCCCTGTTTGAATATAGAACTCAAATAAATATGCCATTTTCTAGTCGCTGGGGATCTTTTGCTCGTCCATATATTTTCAGAACTGGATTTTAAGGGATCAGCATGATCATTGTACAACTCTCTTAGAACTGGGATGTACGGTATGGGGGCCAGGGATCTTATCAACCTTTAGCTCTGACAATTGTTCCTAATACTCTCTTCTGAGAGCACAATGTGCGTCAGTGTTGGGTCAAACTTTCTTTCCTAAAACACAAGGAGGTTGTTCGCATCCTTTCTTGTGAACACTTGGAGAAAAGAATTTGTTTAACGTCTCCCCTTTGTCTTGATATGAGACAGCGTGACTACCATCTTCATGCCTCAGATCTGATACACCCACACGTGTCTTTTGTTCAAAAGAGAAAGTACTTTATTTTGTTCATAAGAGAAAGTGCTGCATTGTGTTCATAAGAGAGAGTGCTATATTTTGGTCCTGAGAGAAAGTAAAAACAATAACAGACCAACCACCAGAACGGCGAGTCAATTAATAAGAAGTGAAAAGATAAATTAAGAAATAAGTTTCCACAACACATGCAAGAACACCATCAATGTGTGTGGTACAGTCACACCACGGAAGTTTTGTCACCTCTTCTCACGATCCCTGAGATACAGACTTGGGAATCCGAAGTACAGCATTTATTGACAGAATATTCCATCACCGTCTACTGCTTCGGGTTCACGAGTCTGAATATCAGGGATCGTGGTTCAGGGGGAGAGGCGACAGGACTTTGGTGTGACTCGAGTACCATTCTAACACTGCACTTTACACCTTTCCCGATGAATACGTATTTTAATAAGCGTCCTTTTTCACTTCACATCCCTACTGAACCATTATATACTTTATATACAGTAATATACTCAACTTGCTTTATTATTATTATTAATCTTTTCTGAGATATTGAGATGGCTTGGTGTTAGACCCAAGCACAGATTTTAAAAGCAAAAAAAAATCTGAGAGACTTACTCTAATATATGGTCAACAAAATGAACGAAAAGTCAATATGGTCTCGTTACAGATGTGGTGATGTTATCTTTACAGCTATGATGACGTCACTAGCCATTGGGTCAACGTTCCTGCTATCCGTGGTGGCTGGGGTTCTAACAGACAACCTGGGTATCCGACTCACCACCTTCATCGGGGGAGCCTTAGCTACTGCCGGCATGTTCATCTCTTCCTTCTTCTGTGATCAAGTATGTGGAGCGACTTAGTTTGGTGTGGTGACCTCTCATGGTGTGGTGACGTCTCATGGTGTGGTGACCTCTTATGGTGTGGTGACCTCTTATGGTGTGGTGACCTCTTATGGTGTGGTGACCTCTCATGGTGTGGTGACCTCTCATGGTGTGGTGTCCTCTCATGGTGTGGTGACCTCTCATGGTGTGGTGACCTCTTATGGTGTGGTGACCTCTCATGGTGTGTGGTGACCTCTCATGGTGTGGTGACCTCTCATGGTGTGTGTGTGTTGGTGGTGTGTCCCTCCTTATGGTGTGTGACCTCTCATGGTGTGTATGCTGGCTGTGTGTGTGTGGTGTCCTCTCATGGTGTGTGTGTGGTGTGTGTCCCCATGGTGTGTGTGTTATGGTGTGTGTCCCCATGCAGTGTGGTGGCTATGGTGTGGTGTCCTTATGGTGTGTGTGGGCAAGCAGTGGTGTGCAGACCTCCCAGTGTAAGCATGTGTGTCCTTGTGGTGTGTGTGTTATGGTGGGTGTCCTCCTTGTGGTGTGTACATGGTGTGGTGTCTCCATGGTGGGTGTCCCATCAGTGTGGACCTTATGGTGTGGGTGTCCTCCTCATGGTGTGGTGTCCTCTCATGGTGTGTGTTATGGTGTGGTGTCCTCTTACTGTGTGGTGTCCTCTCATGGTGTGTTATGGTGTGGTGTCCTCTAATGGTGTGTTGTTATGGTGTGGTGTTCTCTCATGGTGTGGTGTCCTCTAATGGTGTGGTGACCTCTTATGGTGTGGTGTCCTCTCATGGTGTGTGTTATGGTGCTACTGTTTTACAAGTGACAGCAGCACTTCATGCAACATTATACAATCTGACAATTCTTACTTTTATTATCTAGGAAGTGGAAAAGCCATAGGTGGTGAGTAATTAGTGTTAGAAATGTAATTAAAATATTTGACATGTTATTTGGACAAGTAATTAGACAGGTATCAAACTGTGGACGACAGATCCTAAATCTCGATGTTCAGGAGCACATGATGTATATTCTGAACAATGTCTGTGAGATCTAGATTATGGCCAAAACAGTGACCATGGT